CTTACTGAGAAAAGCTCGTTTAGCCTCCTATTGAAGGGTCCTGCTAGTAATAGTAATGTTGCCCAACAACCCTATGTCGCTGTGGCATTTCAATTTGATTCGATTGATTAGCACATGTCTTTCCCTTGTCAGCAGAAATAAAGTATTCAGACGAGAAAGTCTCAAACCGATTTGTGTACCATGTAAGACTGCAGTATACCTATAATACATGGAATAAAAGTTATGTCCATCGGATCTACTTTACTTGTACGTAGGCGTACGTGTGGTTTAATTAAGGAATTCCGCTAAAGGTTTGTCTGCAAACAGAAGAGCAAAAATTAATGAAAACTAAGACGACGCGTAATTTATCAAATACCAGACATCATTCGTTTTTTATCGCCACATTGTCCTTGCGACAATAGTGACGATGAGTTTCGCTCACAATCGTTCGCCACTTGCGAAAGAGAACACTCAACGGCGTTCTGACAATTTTTGAAATGCACGTGTTTTTCAATCTTCTCATCTTCGCCGATCTTCCTTTCTGGATGTTTATCAAATATTTCCTTGTAGTCCACATCACATCGAAATGAAACTTTCCGCTTAAGAACTGTGCTTTGTTGCAGAGGAGACGGGAAAGGGAATTTGCCCACAATTTCCAGAATCTCGCGTTGCTTAGCGATGCCGTCCGCATTGAATTTATACCATGGTAGCATTTTTAATCGCTCAAACCACACTTTTAAATTTGGCCAATACGTCATGTCTATTGGTAGCAGCAAATCTAAGACACTTAACGTAGTGACCGCAGAGAAATCCGCTATAGTTATCTAAAAGAAATAAGAAAATGATAATCTCCTCACATAGAATCAATTTGTCGCATCTCACGGACAAGGTAATTAATTAGGCAAGAAATTTTTGTTTTGGAATTTTAAAGTTGTTAGAGAACAAACATAAGGACATTCGAATTTGCCGCATATAGCGCACGGTTAGCAATTAATTATGTAAGAAATCCCGGTTTAGCGACTATAAGGTTATTAAAGGGCACACATAAGGACATACGAATTTACCGCAAACATACTACGGTGAAGACTAAAATTCTCTCAATATCTATCTATCAGATGGCGACGGTTTCCTTCATTGTCCCAACAACAGCCATTTGAATGGACAGATGAACGCATATATCTTTCGAAGTGAGTGATGTGAAACTCTCATATAATCCATTTTAAGTACCCAAGTAATAGGTAATCCAAACATATATCCCTAGCAGGAAATGCAGCAGCATTTGTGGAATAAAGAAGTTTAAGCACAATGAGTCTCTTTTCGACACTTACGCGATGACCAGCTAAGAAAGTACGGTCAGTTAAGAAACTATTTAAGGCACTATAACAATCAAGGATTTTGCCCTTGTGGTAGTTGACATCAAAATTCGGATATTTATGCAGCAGTATATCGGTCTACGGAAAAGAAAAATCGAGACACGCATGATGAATATCGTAAACAAATTAATTCAACATTTATCAATATTTACCAATAAATGACTATGACATCGATGCAGTACGCAGGCTTCAAAGAAGAGTAGATTGAAAATTTCTAGACGTCCTAAATAGTCTTTAGGCATCACGGGTGGACCATGTTGAAAAGTATATTTATCACATAAATAAATCATTATTGTATGCCCGTCGTACAGAGTCACAGGGCCGTCAATTAAAGTGGGCACAGTACGCGAAGGATTAATCTGCGTGCAAAGGCTTAGCCGTGATAAGCATAACAGAGCCGCAATTTTGTCGTTCACTTACCTTGCTGTATGCTTCACCTAAATGTTCGCCACTGATGAGATTGATGTATTTTAGTTCTACATCGACATCGAGCACTTTGATAAGCATACAACAACTGCGCGCTTGTGGACTGAGGTCGTCATAATAAAGTACCGGTATCAAGGAGAGGGTGTGGTCGGACATTTCCTTTTACTAATCTTTTCTTTTTATTTTAGTAAGTTTTCCTTTTTTCTGAAGTTTTAATAAAAATTTTTAACACTCTTTTATGTCGCTACACGTTTCCACTGCTCTCTCGTTTTTTACTTTTCGGCTTCCATTCGAAGTTTGCTTAGAAATATTATAAATAAATATATAAACGGAAAATTTTCATGCTCAGTTCAAAAACTTTCAAATATGAATGGTTGGAATGTTATACAAATGTAGAATGGCGAGGCCTTCATCTTCTTCTTCTTCTTGTAAAATCAACAACAATGGTAACTTTTTCAGATTATAAACGTAGAATGCCGAACGATGGCCGAACGAAGTAATCGTAATTGGACGTTAAAAGAGTTTCTTCTTCTTCTTCTTCTTCTTCTCTAAAGTTATTCAATTCGTTTTCATATATAAAAGTAAGATGCCAGACTATGACGAAGAAATCACAATTTGATTAAACAATCTAATCTCAAGATCACCTTTGATTAAGATGAACTTTTAATTTCTGCAGAATCTGTGCCTTGAGAGCTTAAACCTTGTTCTAGCCTAAAGAGTAATTTCAGAAGAAAGGACAACGCACAGCACATTAGTTCTTAATTAATTTCCATCCGAGATGGTGAGAAGAGATATTCTATTCCTATCACTAGACACTTACTTAGCTAGCTGGCTTGCACTCTACTTATACAAATCTCTCAAGCTAGCTTTCATGCACAAAGTAGATTTCATGAAGCGCAAACTCTTTACTAATAAAAAATGTTGAAATTCACTTACCACAAAAAAAAAAATTCGACGTATTCCTTCAGAGAATGTAGTTCTTAAGATATTGTAAAAAATTTGAATGAAATAAATGAAAATTGTTTGAGTTATGTTCCATTTAAAGGTTTCGAGTATGAAAGACATGTTTGCCTATCGCAATAAATATTTTGTTTTTTTTTCTATTACTCGGCAATTCTGAGACCATAAAAATTTTTTTCTTCCGAATCCAAACATTGGTTTTCGTTCTCTTTTACTCGAAAGTTCCTTTTTCCCGCATCTGTCAAAGGCAGAATCGCCCGTTGTACACTTTACATGGTGCGAGATGGTTGAAAAATGATAAACAAAATATATATACTTCTATAGCTGAATCCATAACAAAGTCCAAAGACTTCGTTCCAAACTTTTAATTCCCGGACAGAAGTTATGGAGATTTGGGAATCGCCCTCAGCCCCATATCCTTGAAGATTACCTTGATGGAGTTGCACACATATTTATATATATAATTATTTTTTCTTCATATGGTTTCAAATGAACATAAGCATTAGAAAGACATCCGTTGATGCATTAGAGAAAGCAGCAATCAAGAAGCAAGACATTAAGGGGGCGACGTCTCAGTTGCAATTTATTTGACACAAGTATTCTCGCCGTAAAGCTTGGAAAAATTTGTAAGAAAAAAACGTTGTGCGGGTTTTGAAGATTTTTCATACATGTTCTAGAAGATTCAAAGATTCTATTAAGCAAAAAAAAATTCATTTTTTGAAAAAATTACAATGATTTATACATTTAACGGAGAAACTCTTCGGAACCATTAAGATTTATGACACCATCAGTGACAGTCTTTAATAAGTGTTTTTAAAGAAAAATTGATATGTGCATGTCTTCTCTTCTTATCAATAGCTAAACTAAGAATAATTTACAAAAACACATAAAATAAAAATAAGTTATAAAAATTTCCAATTAGTCGTTTTTTATAAAAAAAAAAAACCAATATAAATCGATGGAGAACACCCAGCGAGCAACTTCTTGGAAAATTGAAATATCTGTTTATACGCATAAAAGCCAAAATATTTTATATTAATTAAAATATAAATGATCCTAATCACACCTAAACCTACGCATACATTATTAATTAATTATAAATAAATGATTTAATTTTTTGCTTTTGTTTTTTTTTTTTTTATTAAAAAAAAAAAGTGACCACCAACTTTTTATTGGTTTTCTTTTCTTTAAATTAACACAAAAACTAGTTTATCTCGGCTAGAAGGGAATAAAATCTTTATATTTTATTGCATAAATCCTAAGTTAATATACGTAAGCGTATGGCGGCGGTTCCCAACATTGGTTTATTGAAGCGAAGCTTTCGCTATGCATCGCTTAAGTTATGTTATGTATTGTTTGCGTACAAAAAAAATTACATTCAATCACTTTCTCTCAATAAGGCAGGTAAGTTGATCCCGGCCCGCTACGTTTAAAATCTCAACTAATTCAATTTATTCGCACATAGCGACACTGCAAACGGGTTCGCTCGCTTCGGCTCCCGCAGTGACATGGGATTTAAAATTGATTCGTTGGCGAAAAAACTTGACCGCCCCTGTTGTAATGGATATCTAATTACCGAGAACATCACTTAAATGGAACACTTTTTCGTATAGCCTCAATACACCCTTTCTTACTTTTTGCTCTACGTTACGCTTACTGACAACGGACTGGTCCAAGTGTAACATACATATAAATGATCTTAATTACTGGTCTAAGTATAACATACGTGAACGTTAATTGTTTCGCCATAGTTTTTATTGTTCGCCTATTGAGGTTTCAACGACTTGAAGTCGTCGTCTTAACTGCATGTACATGATTTCGATTGATTGGAAATATTTGTAAAATTTCAAACTTTAAATCATGTTTTCTTGTCAATCAATTTTCGTAAAAATGAAACAACGGCGAACTTTTTGTTTTTTAGTATATAAAAGTCTGAATATCAATAAATCCTTTCTATTGTTCCATAAAAATTTACAAAAATTATCCTCCTTTTAGTAAATACAAGATTACATCATTCCTTTAGGCGTGTAAATGGAAAACTTTAAATCACAAGACAATTTAGTAAATCGTGCTGCAATCTGCATCAAAGTCCTCTGCACGTATTAGACCCCAATAATATATGCATATCTGATCACTACCGATCAACAGATGATTTATATTAATCAGTCTATCCGTTTCAGGTTATCATGTGCACAAATTAATTTGAAAGAACATCAAATCTTTCCATTCCTCATATTCCTCAATCTATTGAAAATCAGTTAAATCTTTCCATGATGTCTTCTGCGTATTGAAAAGGTTTGTTGTAATGAAGAGTGAAGCAAAAAAAAAAACTTGTCCGCGGTTTCATTTATGAAATAAATATGACGTCGAAATGCTCCCACAAGATTTTCGAAAAAATTGTTAAAAATCTCTGCTATAAGTGTTTACTTATTACATATATATACACACAAATATGGTGTGAGTTAACATCATAAATTTTAATCATATATATTTTAGAGCTTAACGTTAATTTTGTCAAAAATCCCTTTGATTTTGCTTTTTCTTTGTTATGTCCACCAGTGTAGGCTGAGAGGAAACCTACTTTGTCGTGCCTTTTGTAACATCTTTATATGAGTATCAGAATTTTTATAAAATATATTCAAGTAATGCCAATCAGTGTCATATTGAGTTTGGCAAATGCATCCGCCCGTTCATCTCTTTAATTTTCTTATTTTAAATAAATACAACGAAGCCTAAGATAGGGACTTGAAATTAACGTAATGTATTCGTACGCCTTTCTTCTCGACTCCTGTAACTATTAGCAGTGTTAATTATCATCGTGCTTGCACATAAAAAATCCACCTGAGTGACCAGTCGTTTCAAAAAAAAAAAAAAAGTAAACAACACAGTTCCCTTAAGAGTTCTTTACTTATCGTGTCGAGAAGAGGCTTGAGATCTTGAACGTTTGACTCTGTTGCTGCATGAAACTTCTCTGTTTCTGAGTAAATTAACCAAACAATTTGGGTCGAGTAACGCAAGATATCTACTTTTTTTTTATATATATATACACGTTATACCTCAGCGAATGTCAACTATGCGTTCAACTGTACGCGGTGATGGCCAGAACAAAATGGAGTGAGAGAGAGAAAGGTGGGTAGTGAACGTAGCTTGGAATGTACGCCCGGTTGGTAAGTGTTATGCCTTTATCGATCGAACACCAGCCACTGCAGTTATATTGCCAGGATTTCGGCATAGTCGAGTAGATAAAAGTTGTGGGTATCAACTCGGGATTCGTGGATTTAAATTTCAATACGATTTGGAAATACTTGGTTATAAGTATAGTGAGTGGCTAGTCGGTAAAGGCATAACTCTTATCGCAAGGCTCCTCTCGCTTCCTATCTTTTTCTCTTGCTTCATTTCTTTAAGGCCTTCACCATGTTACACTTATAGGCGACATACCTTGAACAGTCGATTCAGTTTAGAAAAAAAATATATAAAAAAAAGAATTAAAAACAACAAAAAATGTCACGATTCTACATTAATCGTAAATAAAGTAAAGTAAAGTCCCTTGCATTGGATAGGTCTTTACCCCATCGAAGTGAACTCGCAGAAGGAATGGCTTAGTTTAAACTTCTTCGCTGTAGACGCTTTGCTAGCTGTCAGAAGAGGGGGGAGGGAGGGCTAAACATTTTGGATTCAAAGAGAACAATTCGATCGGTTATTAATAATCGAAAAAAAGAAGATAGAAATCTAACGCATGCATCTCATGCGGTGGGTATTCAAGATTCGCCTTAAGTTAAATCTGTCACTGTTACTTATGTAATTTATGTTTCTTTGACTTATGTATGGGCTTGATTTGGTTTATAGGTGGTAGTGCTTTCATACATGCGATCGCCTTTTAAAGGCCTTTTACTCTTTTTGTTGGGTTTATTTATTTATTTATATATATATATTTTTTGTTTTGTAAAGTTACCTAAGGAGTTATAAAATATTTATTATTAAATAAATTTGTTAAATGACAACTCAAAACTACTGAATATTAATGCTGCCAACAATATAGGAGAGAGATATGCTAAAAGACTGCTTATACAAAAAATCGAAAGACAAGCTTATAAAATATTTCGTTTAAAAGCATGAGTATCGCATTAAATATTCGTAGCAGTTAATATTAATGAGAGGGAGAGGAACACACCCTCATCTTTTATATATGTAGCAAA